TTCTGTTTAACATATTTACCATAAGGTCTTTACTTTTTTCAGTGAGTAAGAACCTTAAGTAAGTGATACAGTTTTTGCTATGCCAAGTTTTTCTCCTCATGGCTCTATAAAGTTTTATTAAAATGCACTAAATTTATTTCAACAAACTAAGTGATAAATCCAGGAAGGCTTTGCCTATATGTTGCCTGTATGAAAGATTAGAGCAGAAGGAAGTACAATATCATCTAGGAACTACTAGCAGGAGGAGTGTGTCCCAAAGAATTAGATGACTTCTGTACAGAAAATAACCTTAAAGTATCTCAATGTAGAAGACCAAACCATTCATCAATTAATTGATGTTAGACCTTTTTTACTTGTTACTTTTGCCACAAATTACAATGATAACAGAGTGCTAAGAAAACTATACTTGTACCTAATCACAAGTGTGTAGTACCTAAACATAACACTCTAAAATAGAAAGGCCAAGAAATATGGTCTGGATGTGCACTTTTTAGTTTGATGGTATTTGTGACCTAATACCATCAAATTAAAAAGTTTTTGCAGAGCAAAGAAAACCATCAACAAAATGAAAAGATAATGCACTGAAAGAATATATTTTCCAATGATACATCTGATAAGGGGTTAATATCCAAAATGTATAAATAACTCATACAACTCAACATTAAAAAAACAATTCAATTAAAAAATGAGCAAAGAACCTAAATAGACACTTCTCCAAAGAGTACATGCAGATGACCAATAGGCATATGAAAATGTACTCAACAACACTAATCATCAGAGAAATGCAAATTAAAACCACAATGAGATATCCCCTCACATCTGTCAGAATGATGATCTGTCAGAATGATTATCATCTCACATCTGCCAGAATGATTATCATTAATAAATCAACAAACAACAAGATTTGGAGAAGATGTGGAGAAAACAGAATCTCCTCTGCACTATTGGTGGAAATGAAGATTGGTGCAGCCACTGCAGAAAGCAGTATGAAGTTACCTTAAAAAATTACAAATGAAACTACCTCATGACCCAGTAATTCCAGTCTGGGAATTTACCTGAAGAAATTTGAAACATGAATTTGAAAGAATATATGCATGCCTATGTTCACTGCAACATTATTTACAATAGCCAAGCTTTTAAAGCACCCAAGTAGATGAAAAAAGTAGATTAAAAAAAAAGCTGTGGTACATTTACAAATGGAATACTACTCTACTGTAAAAAGAAGGAAAGTTCACCTTTTTGCAACAGCATGGATGGATCTGGAGAGTATTGCACTAAGTGAAATGAGCCACTCAGAGAAAGACAAGTACCATATGATTTCACTTATATGTGGAATCTAATGAACAAAATAAGCTAACAAACAATATAGAAACTGACATAGATAAAAAAACAAACTGACAGCTGTCAGAGGGGAAAGGGTTTTGGGGGGCTGGGTGAAAAAAGGTGAAGGGACTAAGAAAAAGACTCATAGACACAGACAATAGTATGGTGATTCAGCAGGAAAGGTGGGGATAGCTAGAAGAGGGTAAAGGGAGATAAATGATAGTGACATGGGGTAGTGAACACACAACACAATAAAGAGATGATGTATGATAGAATTCTACACCTAAAATCTCTATAATTTTATTAACCAATGTCACCTCAAAAAAATTTAGTTTTAAAAATTGGTCATTGCATAACTACTTTGTAAGAATTTATTTAGAATAACAAGACTATTCCACACTGTCATAAGAAAACTCTATTGCTTAGACATTGAAATAAAGAACAAACTGACAGTAACTGGGGTGAGGAGAAGGATAATAGGGGATAATAGAGGAAAGGCCATCAATGAAAATGTATAAAGGACACATGGACAAAGCCAAAGGGGGTAGGTTCAAGAGTGGGGGGTGGGGATGGGTGGGGTGGGGGGCATGGTGGGGTGGAAATGGAGACAAGTGTACTTGAACCACAATAAAAATAAAGTTAAATTAAATTAAATTAAAGTTAAATTAAATAAAAAAGAAAACTCTACTGCTTAAAAGTTTAAAGTCACTCAATGAATTTTGTCAGGTATAGCCACTGTGAATCTAAGTAGTGTTCTAAAGAAATATATATTTTAGTGCCATAAAATTTAAAACAAGTATTGTTTTCTTGGCTGTTTTAGACATTTCTCTCATCCAATGAAAAGAAAACATATGTCATATTTGCTTATACTTTAAGAAATTGAAATGTATTTTACATCATCAATTTTTAAAAAACAATATTTTCTATCTAATATTAAACAATTTAACATTATTACTGTTTTCTCCCTAAAAGCTATGATATAAGAACATGTTCTCTTTTCTTACTATAATAGGCTCATTTAAAAATAAATATATAAATGTAAGCATACCTATATTTCTATATGCTGCAATTTTTATTCCTACTGATACTCTAGTTTCACTGTCAGCTCATTAGGTTAAATTATTTTAAATGAGCTTTAATTATATAGACTTCTTTGGAATTCTGGCTAAGATAGAGGCATAGGTAGATACACTTTGCATCCTCACACAACCAAAAGAAGGACAACAAATTTAAAAACAAAAAACAATCAGAACTGCCAGGAAATAGAACTGTATGGAAGTCCAAGGACCAAGTAGTTAAAGAAGAAACATTCATCCAGACAGGTAGAGGACAGAGACAGACAGGCAGGGCAGAGAGGATGCACAGCAAGGCAGCTGGAAGACTGGGAAGGCAAGGCAATAGCTGGGGGCCCCACATTTGTGTGTGGATAAACCAGGAAGAACAACTGGGGAGCAACACAGACTGTGAAACCCAGAGTTCCAGCCTGGAAAACTAAAGCCTCAAAAACCTCTGGCTGTAAAAAACTGTGCTGATTGCCATGGTGGGAGAAACTCCCAGCATCACAGAAGAGTTCACTGAAGAGACCCACAGGGTATTAGAATGTACACAAAACCTACCCACCCAGGAAATCAGTACCACAAGGGACCAATTTGCTTGTGGGTATTGGGTTTGTGATTGAAAGCGGGTGAGAGCTAAGCAAGCAGCATTGTTCCCTTTTGGATCTCTCCCCAACATACAGAGCCACAACATGGTGACATGGATTGCCCCACCCTGGTGAATACCTAAGGTTCCACCCCTTACTACGTGACAGGCATGCCAAGACAATGGCAAGAAATATGGTCCAAATGAAAGAACAGATCAAAACTCCAGAAAAACAACTAAGCAACAAAGAGATAGCCAACCTATCAGATGCTGAGTTCAAAACACTGGTAATCCGGATGCTCACAGAAATGGTTGAGTATGGCTGCAAAATAGAAGAAAAAGTAAAGGCCACGCAAAGCAAAAGAAAAATATACAGGGAACCAATAGTAAAGGGAGGGAAACTGGGACTCAGATTAACAATTTGGAAAACAAGGAAGAAATGAACATTCAACTAGAACAGAATGAAGAAAGAAGAACTCAAAGACACGAGGAGAGGCTTAGGAACCTCCAGGACAATTTTGAATATTCCAACATCTGAGTCATAGAGGTTCCAGAAGGAGAAGAGGAAGAGCAAGAAATAGAAAACATACTAGAAAACATAATGAAGGAGAACTTCCCCAATCTGGCAAAGGAAAGAGACTTCTAGGAAGTCCAGGAAGCTCAGAGCATCCCAAAGAAGTTGGACCCAAGGAAGTACACACTAATGCACATCATAATTACATTACCCAAGTTTAAAGATAAGGAGAGAATCTTAAAAGCAGTAAGAGAAAAGGATATGGTTACTTACAAAGGAGTTCACCTAAGACTATCAGCTGATTTCTCAAAAGAAAATTGCAGGAAAAAGGAGGCTGGAAAGAAGCATTCAAAGTCATGAAAGGCACGGACCTACATCCAAGATTACTCTATCCAGCAAAGCTATCATTTAGAATGGAAGTGCATGCCCTGGCTGGTGTGGCTCAGTGGATTGAGTGTCAGCCTGTGAACCAAAGTGTCACTGGTTCAATTCCCAGTCAGGGCACATGCCTGGGTTTCATGCCAGGTTCCCCAGTAGGGGGTGCTGTGCAAGAGACGACCACACACTGTTGCTTCCCTCTCTCTCCCTCCCTTTTACTCTCTCTAAAAATAAATAAATAAAATCATTTTTAAAAAGAATGGAAAGAGAGATAAAATGCTTCCTAGATAAGGTAAAATTAAAGGAGGTCATCATCACCAAGCCCTTATTATATGAAATGTTAAAGGGACTTATCTAAGAAATAGAAGAAGATCAAAACTTTGAGCAGTAAAACAGTAACAAACTCACAGCTATCAACAACTAAATCTAAAGAAACAAAAACAAAAACAAACTAAGCAAATGACTAGAACAGGAACAGACCCACAGAAATGGAGCTCACATGGAGGGTTATCAGCAGGGAACGGGAGGGGAAAGAGTGGGGGACAAGGGGAGAAAAAAATAAGACAACAGTAATAGCATAATCAATAAAACATACTTAAAAAGAAATTTTATCCTGGCTGGCGTAGCTCAGTGGATTGAGCGCGGGCTGGGAACCAAAGTGTCCCAGGTTCGATCCCCAGCCAGGGTACATTCCTGGGTTGCAGGCCATAACCCCCAGCAACCGCATATTAATGTCTCTCTCTCTCTCTCCCTCCCCTCTCTCTCTTCCCCCTCTCTCTCTCTCTTCCTCCCTCCCTTCCCTCCCTAAAAAATAAATAAATAAAATCAAAAAAAAAAGAAATTTTATTATACAAATAAAGTTTTTATATCATAAAAAGATATTGTTCACAAAGAATGCAGTGTTTTCCAAAATATATGAAAACTGGTGTGGCTCAGTGGATTGTAAGCCAAAGGGTTGCTGGTTCTCTTCATGTTCATAAGTGGTGTCTATTATTGATATCAGCCTTAAGACAGAGACTTAACTAGAATTCTTTCTTTAAAAAGTAACATTCATTCATTGTACATCACCACAGTCTTAATATGAGTATTAAATAAAATAGACAGAAACAACAAATTTTAATTGGTTTCTTTGCTTTTCCTTTAGGATCACCCAGTTAACCCATTTATGGATATTCCTTATCCCATGTCAGAGAATAATTTCCCTCCTCCTGGCTCTCCTTCTGAGAATAATTTACCCAAGAACCTTGGGAATCCTAACACTGATCCAGGAAAATCTGAATATCCCTGGATTCTCAGTGCTCCTAGAGCACCCCTCAACCGCATTCCTAGTTTTCCCACACCTACCTGGTTGGATGCGCCTCGTCAGAAGGATTCCTCTGTCATTCACACCTCAAACAGACCTATAAGACCTTTTGTCCAATCCAGTGCAGTTGACCCCATAAAGTATGTAGCTAAGCCATCTAGTGCACCCCTGCCTCCTGCCCCAGCATGTGCGATTGAGCCTGCTGGAACCCAGCCTGATGAAGTGGAGCGTGCTCTAGCCCCACTTGCTCCAGCCCCACCTGCTCCAGCCACACCTGCTCCGGCCACACCTGCTCCGGTCACACATGCTGCCCCAGAGCCTTATTCTTCTACTTCTCTTGATCCGGTGGGTTGCCTGAATCTTACTCCCGTAATATATTTTTAGGACAAGAAAAGAAACACAGTCTCTCCATTAGTGAACACATCAGCTTAAATATTTTGAATAGCTTTATTGAGATGAGTGCATACAACAAACTACATGCACTGAAAGTATACACTTGGGTAAATTTTGTCTTATGAATACATCTAAGAAAAAATCACTACAATACAGACTATATCCACCAGAGTCAAAAGTTTCTTCCTATTCTTTATAATCCCACCCACCCCTTTCCTACCCCTAATCTATTTTCTGTCACTACAGATTGGTTTGCATTTTCTAGAATTTTATATAAGCATACTCTATACAGTATACTCTTACATCTAGCTTTTTCTACTCAACATAATTATGTTGAGACTTACCCACGTAATTCAATCTATTTTTTGCAGAGTATTATTTCATTATATGGATATATCATATAATTTTTACTCATTCATCTGTTGATGAACAGTTTAATTTCCAAACTGAATGTCACTTATTTATTTCCATGTAATTATTCATTTGTTGCATACTATCCTGGCTTAAACCTCCAGTTCAATGTTGAATAAAAGTGATTAGATGGGCACCCATCCCTCTCTTATTTATCTCCAGGCAGTAAACTAGGACTAATCATAGGAGTCATCGTATTTGCTTCCTGACTTTAGGAATCACTGTCATTCATAGCCTAATAATGTTCAGATCTTCAGAGACTGATGCTTTTCATAATTTTAGTACAATAAAATATTTTTTAGGCAAGAGGGTAAATTCAGTTCCTGTAACTCATCTTGACGTAAAGAGTAGTCCTCTAACCTTTTTAAAAACAATCTTTTTTGCAAAAATATTTAAGAAGCACATAGTCACTAAGTTTTAGTAGATGTGGTCCAAACAATTCAGCTATTTTATAAAAGGAAAAGTGGGGTTCCAAACTATGTAGAAGATATTTTGAACCATGGCACAGGAGGAAAAGAAACTGAAGCAGCCCAAGTGCCCATCAATTGATGAGTGGATAAAAAAGCTGCAGCACATTTATATAATGAAATACTATGCAGCTATAAAAAAAAATGCACTGTTACCTTTCGCAACAGTATGGATAGACCTAGAGTGAAATAAGTGAAATGCTAAGTGAAATAAGTCAGATTGAGAAAGACAAACACAATATGATTTCACTCATATGTGGAATCTAATGAACAAAATAAACAAATAAAATAGAAACAGACTCATAAATACAGAAAATAGACTGACAGTTGTCAAAGAGGGAGAGTGGTGGGCTGGGTGAAAAAGGTGAAGGGATTAAGCAGTACCAGTTGGTACAGACAGAATACCCACAGAGATGTAGGTTACAGCATAGGAAATACACTCAATATCATAATAACTACGTATGGGGCCAAATTACTTGAAGCAGAAAGGGTACCACTCTACAAAGTATATGATTTTCTAACCACTTTGATCTACGTCTAAAACTAATACAGAATAATAATGAATGTAAATCATAATTTAAAAATAAAAAATGTATTAAAAAAGAAATGTGAGCTTAAATCCACCAAGTAATACATTCTTCAGTACATTGTCAGTAACAGGATACTTCTAAAAATTATTTCCTACAAGAAGGTACAAACTTTTTCTCTTGTTCCTTCATTTCTGATAGGAATCAGGATCAAGTTAAATAGTTTATTGGAACAATTCATAGAGGGATAAAGAGCTAGACTTATTCTACAATGCTTCACACATTAACATGTTCATCCAGTAGGTTTCTTTGACACAAAGCATTTTCCACTTACCAGTATACACCCATAATTTATGGCTCACACAGGGATAGAGGAGAAATGTTTAAAAGTATGGATAAAAAGAAATATAACTTGACAAGAAGCGGTATTGAAAATACTGCTAAAGATTTTGAACATTATCCTATGGCCAAAAAAAATTTACTAAGGATGTTTTTTGAGAAAGATGATTTGACCAGTTGTCTGTTTCCAAAAGCTAAATATGGTGGTTATATAGAGCTTTTGAAGTATGAGTTTTGAAGAGATCGGCAGAATACAGTTTCTTAAAGAAGAAAGATTATTAAGAAAAGACAGGCCCAATACTATGAAATGAAGTATAGTTCATCATGTGTGAAAAATCTTTCTTTTTTTATAGGGAAAAAAATGAAATTCTTCAAGGAAGAGAGTATCATGTACTTGTTTCTGTAAGTTACATTAGTAATGAAATTTTAAAATAACACATTAAATAAACTAAACCTCATAATCTGGAACTAGCTTTAAATATATTTTTGCTACATGGAACATGAAAGTGGGGTGTGGAGGGGTACCAGCAGTCTGTCTCAGAACCTCTGAGATTATGAACTCATGCCCTATGTGAGGGACTCAGGCAAATTACAAGCAACTAGAAAGTTCTTCAAATTGATCCAATTTAATTATGACCTAAATATTCTAAAATAATAATTGTCAATGTAGGAAAGAAATTTCATACGGGGAAGGATTTTAATTGTAAATGAGAAAAACAATTATTAAAGTTCTCAGATTTTTCTGCATGCTATTCATTCAGCCGCCATCCTTAACCCACACTGAGAACCACTGTTTTAGTAACAAATAAACAAACAATTTAGATCTGAAATCTCCCACAGCCCACCTTCTCCCCCACAACCTTACCTCCATTCCCCATTATACAGTGTCCTGGTAAGAAAGGCACTGCTCAAAAAGCTGTTAGATTCATTCCATTTTAGTCATCTAAGAAAAAAATTTAGTTACACTTTTCCAAGTTCTCATTCCTCATTCTTTCCAAAAAAGATGTTCCATTTTTATTGTTATAAATATTCCCTGCACAGGAGAATAACAAGGCTTTATTTGCTTATCAGCCAAATCAGAATTTCTATTGAGGTGACATCAGTAAAGTAGAACTGAAAACCAAATGTGTGATGATGGTTAAAATTGTTGGTGATGCCTCTTAAGAGCAGCTATGGACAAAAAAAATTGAAAGTCTTCATTTTTTACTTAAACCCTGAATATTCCTATATTCTTTTGGTTTTTACTTATTTTATAGTATCCAAAAGAATATCAGTTAGTGAATTAGTTCAAGACATTAGGTAAATTTAATAATTTCATATTCTCATCAAGCATTTGTATTAGTTTCTTACTACATTAATTATTTAATTCACACCAGGTAAGTTATTTTTCTATAAACATCTCTTAAGGCAGAGAAGAAATTCTATTTCAAATTATTCAGATTGAGGAGACTATTTATCCGAATCTAATACACAAAGAAATAAACATCATGTATAATATATACATGCATACAAATAAATCATAACATTGAATTAACATGACATTTTTAAATGACTTAATTATTACAAAAATGTGTAATATTGCAGTCAAGCTTGATTTTCATAAACATGTACTTTAATTATAGCATGGATTTGTAGATGACAACAACTGTGATTTTGCTTTAAGTGCAATTTGGTAATTTTATTATATAATACTAATAAATACTAATATGTCATTTTCCTTTTTCAGATGCTGGTGCAGAAGTCAGTGAAATCTATAAAAACTTACTTTTTTCCAATGATTTTCATTTCATTATATTAAAACTATCAGTCGCACTATGTAGGTTGGTTTGTGATGTTTTTCATTGAACTTAGTTTATACAAAACAATGTTTATGGTGTACTTTTTGTTCAAATACTTAAAAGGCTACCTCCTAAATATATAAATAATAATTTTCAGAGACTTAAATATCTGAAGACAATATGTGCCTTTTCTTTTTTCCAGGTTTTATTTTTTTATTTTTTTATTTGTAAGTATATTTTCTTGATTATGCTATTATAGTTGTCCCAATTTTTCTCCTCTTTATTCCCCCTCTGCCCTGCACCCCCACCCTCTAGCATCCCCCCTTAGTTCAAGTTCACAGGTTGTACATAGAAGTTCTTATTTCCTATAATATTCTTTTTCTTTCCTTTTCTTTTCTTTAGAGGTTTTATTTATTTTTAGAGAGGGGAAGGGAAGGAGAGAGGGAAAGAAACATCATGTGTGGTCGCCTGTTGTGTGCCCCCTACTGGAGACCTGGCCCACAACCCAGGTGCGTGCCCAGACTGGGAATTAAACCTGTGAACCTTTGATTCACAGGCCAGTGCTCAATCCTCTGAGCCATATCAGCCAGGGCATTTCTTTCTTTTACTTTTTTATTCTTAATAAAATTCTTACTTTTTATTCTTATTCAAGTACAGCTGTCTCCATTTTCACCCCCCATCCCCCCTCTCCTCACCCATCACCACCTCCCAACCTCGAACCCATCCCCTTTGGCTTTCTTCAATGTGTCCTTCATACATGTCTCTTGAGGCCCCCCCTCCATTATCCCTCTACCCCCTCCTCTCCAGTTATTGTCACATTGTTCTTTATTTCAATTTGTAACTTCCCCTTGTCTATTTTATGCCTACCAATTATGCTTCTTATTCCCCATAACTTCCCCTCCCATTCTTCCCCTCCACCTCCCCACTGATAACCCTCCATGTGATCTCCATTTCTCTAATTCTTTTCCTGTTCTAGTTGCTTGCTTAGTTTTTTCTCTTGTTCTTTAGGTTCAAGTCATTGATATCTGTGAGTTTGTCATTTTACTGTTCATAGTTTTTTATCTTATTTTATTTCTTAGATAAGTTCCTTTAATATTTCATATAATAAGGGATTGGTAATCATGAACTCCTTTAACTTGACCTTATCTGGGAAGCACTTTATCTGCCTTCTCATTCTAAATGATAGCTTTGCTGGATAGAGCAATCTGGGATGTAGATCCTTGTCTTTCATGACTTCAAATACTTCTTTTCAGCCCCTTCTTGCCTGTAAGGTTTCTTTTGAGAAATCAGCTGATAGTTTTATGGGCACTCATTTGTAGGTAACTCTCTCCTTTCCTCCTTCTGCTTTTAAGAGTCTCTCTTTATCTTTAACCTTTGGCATTTTAATTATGATGTGCTTTGGTGTGTCCCTCCTTGGGTCCAATTTCTTTGGGACTCTCTGGGCTTCCTGGACTTCCTGGAGGTCTACT